GCAATTTCCCAACGAAAATATGCTCTGGACATTCTCACTGAGACTGGTATGGTTGACAGCCGCCCTAGTGATACTCTGATGGATCCCAACATCAAGCTTCTTCCTGGTCAGGGGGAGCCATTGGATGACCCAGAAAGATATCGTAGACTTGTTGGCAGACTTAACTATCTTACTGTCACCAGGCCAGACATCGCATTCCCAGTAAGTGTGGTAAGCCAATTCATTAACGATCCTCGTGATAGTCATTGGATTGCAGCATTGTGGATACTCAGATATATCAAGAAGGCACCAAGCCGAGGACTACTATACGAGGACAAAGGTAATTCCAAAATTGTCTGTTATTCAGATGCTGATTGGGCAGGATCACCATCAGACAAAAGGTCTACCTCTGGCTATTGTGTTCTAATTGGAGGCAACCTAATTTCATGGAAAAGCAAGAAGCAAACTACAGTTGCTAGATCCACTGCGGAAGCTGAATATCGTGCTATGGCAGCAGCTGCAAGTGAAGTTACATGGCTACAACAACTTCTCAAGCAACTTCAAATTGGAGACACTCAGGGAACTAAACTCATTTGTGATAATGAAGCTGCTCTCCACATTGCCTCCAATCCTGTCTTCCACGAGCGGACTAAACACATAGAAATAGATTGTCATTTTGTAAGAGAGAAAGTGCTCTCAGGAGAAATCACCACTGAATTTGTCCACTCTAGTGACCAGTTAGCAGATGTGTTCACAAAATCTCTTAAAGGGCCTCGGGTTGATTATATTTGTAACAAGCTTGGTGCATATGATATATATGCTCCAGCTTGAGGGAGAGTGTTACAGATATTGTGAATATATTACAGATATTGTGGATACATATATTATGGTTATTATCCTCACTATCAATTAGGGATATGATTAGATTAGTTTCCATAATATAAGAGATTAGTAACTCTATCATTTATTGTATTCACTCTATAAATAAGATTGGTGTGTGTACAACAATACACACAATTCCTGAATCACAACAGTTATTAATTGTCTAACTACTTTCTGACCCCCTTAAAATATCATCACTTCCCTCCCTCAGCCACCCTTGATCTATCTGCTGCCATATACCTTCCTAATAAGAGGTCTGCTATCAAAGACACAGGAGAAGATAGAGATATGTAGGAACGGAAATAGGAAAACAATAGTGTGTACTATTCAGAAAAGAGAGAAACTAGAGGAAGAACCTTCTTACAAGAGCATTTTTCAACTGATAATGATTCAGTTTCAGATACTTTCACAAAGGTGACTTCCCTTAAAATATTCTATTGTGTATCTTTCAAACCTCCTAAGCTCCAACATAACTGCCTGTAGCTAACTCAAGCCACCTATTGTTAATTCTTTCTAGAATAGACCCTTCAGTCTTTATTCTCCCTATTAACTAAAGGCTCGAGCCAAACAATTTCAGTTGGCTGGTGTTCAACAGTGGTTAGTCTTTGGTGGCAATGAAGATAGTGAATAATAATTGTCAACACTACTAGATTATACTATGCCAATTTAAGATGGATAAGGCCACTGGATGATTCTATGTGGAGATGAATCATATGAAGTTATGAATTAGTATTTTAGAGTAATTATTTTTCTCATAAGGATTGCAGCGGACTCACAACAGTTACTTTTCAATATTCAAGGAATATAGATAGGAATTGTAATGAAAGTGCCAATCAGCCAAACGACACTTCAATTGTGAATATTAAAACCAACTTTTGGAAATAGTGCAAGCTCAAGTCTATGCAGCATATGATATACTATTAATAGTACCGTTTCTGATGGGAAACAAAATTTTTGAACACCATAATTATGCAGCAAGTCCCTACACCAAACTGTTTCAATTATCTACAGAAAAACTGACCCTGCACACTCAGGATTCCTAAATCTTAAATTATTAAATCCTATACAAAATGCAAGATCACTTCAAAGACTTGAACTTCAATAGCCAGTATTTCTACAACCAGCAAGATTTATTTTAGCTACGTAAATCCTGCTGCACAGATCATATACAAAACTGTTTCAATTATCAACAGAAAAACTGACCCTGCACGCTCAGGATTCCTAAATCTTAAATTATTAAATCCAATACAAAATGCAAGATCACTTCAAAGACTTGAACTTCAATAGCCAGTATTTCTAAAACCAGCAAGATTTATTTTAGCTATGTAAATCCTGCTGCACAGATCATATTCTCATACTGTATATAAAACAAAACTATTCTAGTTACTTACAGCCAATGCCAATTACATACAACTATTATAATACGCATCAATTCTACTAATTTTTTTTTATAAACTTCCCTATTAAATATCCTTATCAAGGTTATTCATGTTTTAGAAGTTATAGACGTCATATAATTTGCAATTCAAATTGTGCAAGGCAGTACTATGTAGTTCTCAAACAATACAAATCAGATAACATTGGTATATGGCCTTGTTATGCAATTCAATAACTGTTTTATCCTTATGCATCATTCTCCATTTAAAATTTTTTTCTATGAACTTCCCTGTAAAATATCCTTCTAGAGATCAGTTAGAATATCAAGATTATTCATGTTTTAGGAGTTTTATTATGTTACTAGTTTTATCATGTTGGGCTCATGCTAGGTTTAATAAACTAGTACCTGACCTTAATCAACTGTACAAATACATGTTATAGTTTGTATCTAAACACAGCATATCATTCTAAATCAATTATTCAATATCCTATTTATATTTCTTACTTTCTTTCTCCCATATTTTGATTCAGCTATGTTCTTATAAGTATATCTGGTATCACCAATTGAACGGACAACCACCAGGTCACTATAGAATATAAAAATATAGCAAGGAACCAAACCTCGAACATGAGACTGTATTTCCCATCTTTATTTCGCATTCGTAAATATGATTGGCAAGTTTCTGGATCTTCACCGGGTGGTAGAAGATATATGTCATAAGTTTGCTCTGTTGTTTCCATAAAATCCTCAGAGAGAACAGCTTTAATTTTATCCACTGCTACATCCCTTGCTGACTAGAACAGTTATACAACAGATTTTTCATCAGGACATCATCACATCAACATCAGAACCAACAGAACTATCCTTTTTGTCTCCTTTCATTTACAATGTGGAATTAAAATTATGTGTTATTGTGGCACGAACCTTCAATATGTAAGTAGGGCTCTGGAATCCAGTAAATGGATTGAATTTGTTGATGATTTTTATATGTGCTGTCTGGAGATCTGGCTCAATAAAGGCCTTGTACATCGGATACACCTGAAAATGTTGAAACTTAAGCACTTCTGGAAACAGCTATATTCTAAATCTGAATAAAAGATGAAAGGGATAAAAGTATGAACTGTCTCAGATATTTGATGAATAATTTCTTCAGGTTCTTGACCAGCACGTTGTATATCACGTATTACTCGTTTTACAAGGTCAAGGTGAACTCCCCCTGTAACAGAGACTCGAAGGTCCAGTAGAGGTCGCAACTTCTCACTCAATGCATAGATGCCCTCTATAATTACAATACGAGAACTTGGGGCTTCTACTGTCCTGTAAGCAGGGTACATTTTTAATATGAAATCAAAGGCATCCTAATAAAAATGGAATACACTGAATCAATTAAAACCAGCTTTGAATTACATTAATCATAAAGTTTAGATTTACATTGTAATTGCTATATATCAGAACATCAAACAGAAATTCAATGCCAACATAATACAACAGTACAGGGTTACATCCCTACACCTTAATGTAAATTATTATCCAAATATACATATTATCCATATTTATTTTCCTAAAAATAGTGTTCTCTGGTCACTGTTCCAAGAGAGTTATTTTTTAACTCTTCAAAATATGCCATTGTACAGTTACCCGAGATGGCTTAAAATTTAACCTGTATCCTGTACGTGAACTGGACTTGAAATCATATATGGGAACTTGAACTGGCTTTCCTTCCTTTAAATCATGTAGATTCTGGAGCAAAGTGTCATAGTCTGTTAAGCGTGGATCTGCACAAAGGGATAACAGAGTTCAAAAGAGATTGGTGTCCCAACTTAAAACTGAGAGACAGTGTTTAATCAAAGCACTAATATTATACCCCATACATTTTATTTCTGTGGATCTCTATATTTCAGATGTACAATAATAGGCATACATACTAGCTCACCTCTCCCAAATGAAATTGCTTCTCATAAATGATTGGATTTCAAATGAAGCCTAAAGAAATTCAAGGTACACAAACCTCAGTATGACAGATGACAGGAGGAAAGGGTAAAAAGAAAAAATAATAATTTTCATACAAGGTACTGAGCTCAATAACTTGCATTATGCCGCCTTAACAACATTTCATTTTCTGCCCATTACTAGCTAATGCAGGAATTCCTTCATTTGTTTTAATTTAATTTGTACTTATGCATCATTGAGTCTTTTGTAAGAACATTTTTCTCTCCCATCCTTAACATTCTAAGCACCAACTTTGCATAGGGATCTCTTTTAATCGTTGCCAAACCATTCTAAAAGCAGATTTAACATCTCAGTTTTAAGTTCTGACTGATCAGACCAGACAGCCAACGTTAAAAATACCTAGGCAAGGTCAGTAGTGTATTACATGACTTACATTGAACCACCATCACCATACAGCTAAGACTCTAAGTCAATGGTTTATAAGTGCATGCCAAGATAAATAAATAATCAAGTTATCATTATTCAGAAGTCAGCAAAAATATTTTATTCCCAAATTAAAGCTTTTATTAGGGAGAAGCACAGGAGAGATGAGCTATGCCATTCCTACCCTCAGGAGAATTATGTTTAATCAAGCCATGAAGCCTGCATCCTAGTAATGCATCATAGTAAGAATGATAAAAACATCAAATAAGAAAAGGCCAGATGATGACTTACCATCAAAATTTCCATCAACAATTCGACTTGAATCATTGTAATTATCCATTGAAATGACTGCAATGCTGGGCATGAAGGTGAGTATCTTTTCAGTAAATACAGTCTTCCCTGCCCCTGAAGGGCCTGCCACCCCTACCAATATTATTCCATCATTCTTTTGGGCTAACAATTGGCATGCACGAATTACGATAAAGAAACCCTTCTCAAATGATAGTTGGTCTTGGATTGGAGCAATTTCATAGCGATCGGAGTCTTTCCTTTTAACCAAGTGAACTTGATCTTTTAAAAGACCAAGACGTTTGTGTTGGGAATCGGCATCAGAAGTATCTTTCGTCATTGAAAAACTCCTAATTTCTTTTTAAGAGGAAAAAACAAGAAATAATTGTTAAATAATACAAAAATAAATAAATAAACATGGCATAATGGTTATGTTAGACTCGTATATACATACTTGTATCCCTAGACCTAAACATATAATTATAGGTTAGAGCTAGTAGTTAATCACACTACTCATTTTTCTGACATAAATCAAGAAAGTGACTTTAGTATCCTTACGATTAATTTTTCCAGGGGGCATGTAATTTGTACACAACTGTAGTCTCATTTAACTCACCTCTGGGAAAGAGGAAGAAGTTATCTAAGTAATGACAACTTACAGAAATTATAATTTTTTGTCATTATCTACAACCTATAAACCAGTTATACTCTAGGCAGAACATCAACATTGGAAGAAATTGCACGTGTATAAGCTTGAAATTAAAAGCACTAACAAGTTGTGTTGACAAATATCACTGATAATCATTATAGCCCTTGCTGGTTAACTCACATTATAGCTAAACAATAAATCTCAATTGTGCTGTCAACCACAGAGGATTTGGCTCCTCTAATGAAGGGAGAAGAAGACACACTTTTGAAAGAAAAGTGCAACTATAACTGTAGAATGAAAGGCTGAGATTGTAATAAAACATATACACACGTAACAAGCCATACAGTTATTAAATTTTACTCCATTGATTGGAAATGAACAGTTATAAGCCCACCCTCTCTCTCTAGTACAACTCCCACTTTAAATGAGCCAAATTCAACCAGAAAATATATGTTGAGTTTAATGGAAGATCCTAATGGCCCAAAATGTTTAGAAATTGCCACAGAAACAGTAGACTCTAATGAAAACAGGACAAAGGTAAAGGAATTTTCTCTCCGTGACTGAACAGATAGCTTTCCGGTATCACCATCAGATAATTATCACAATTACAACATCACACACAACACCACTTTTGTATCCAACCTAAAAAATAAATTTGTTCCTCAAAAAAAAAAAATAAATAAATAAACCCTGAACTTACAACTTTTAAGAGCATAAACAGGATCAACCAGAAAACATAATTCAACAGAGACAGAGAGAGATTAAAAAAAAAGAGGAACAAGCCAGAAACAGAAACCAACAGAAGTTGTTAGATAACAAAGCAAAACCCACAAAAGGTCTTGCAAAACTCACTCCGGATCCAAAATCAAGAACGAAAATTTGCAAACTTTGGCACAAAACAAGAAATACCCAGAAGAGAATGCGCATCAAAATTGATCCAATGTGCACACTTGTGAACGATCAGAGCACTCACCGAGACTCCCTGAACAAGCAGTTACAGTGAGTTCAGCAATAACGACAACAACAACCACAACGCAGGAGAGAAGCCATAATTTCAAGGTCGGTTCTACAATACAGCCATATATTAATATTAATATTAATATTATTTCTTTCTGGATGTTACCCTTCTCGCCGAAATCAAAGGAAAGTGATTTTTCTCCATTTTTTTGGAGATATTTTGTGATGTGAGATTAATTTCTAGAGAATCTGCAACCGATTTTAGAGAGAACAAAAATCATATATATAGAGAGAGAAGCTCTTGAAGAAGAATATTACAGAAAAATAAAACAGGTAAAATAAAAAAGAATATTATAATTACATTAATATGAATAATATTGAAATGTGTCCTCCATGAGTCAATTGAGGGGTGAAGTTTGTGCATCACTTGGGGTCTAGGCATTTTCACAAGTTGTGACGTGAAGGAGGGGGTGGTACTTGATGAAATTGGAAATATGGATTTAGCCAAATTTGTTTCCCACTAGGTTGTTTGTCAATTTTGAGATACATTTTGTTTACGGTGTGGGAACATTTGAATTAGTCATACTTCCAACGTTTATTGCAACAAAATATTTTTAATTCATGATGTGGGATCTGTATATTATAGAATAGAATCATGATAGAATAATTTTATAGTCATGATAAGATTTTTTTTTTTAAGGGAGTTTTTTTTTAATTATATATTCGAATATTGAAATATATAATATTGTGATGAGATTTTCACTTATATATCTATATTAATCTATACTAATATATAAAGGAAATACCATTTTCGGTAATTATCTTAGTTTTCACTTTTTTGAACCATTATACTCTTTTATTTTAAAAAATTAGAAAAAATATTTTTAATCAAATTTAAAAACTTCAAACTAATAAATCTATACTAATATATAAAGGGAATGTCATTGTCAATAACTATTTTTTGTTTTCATTTTTATATAGACCATTTTATCATTTGTTTATTTTTTAATAATTATCTTTTTATGAGTAACTTTTCATTTTTTTATTTTTTTTATTTTTTCTTTTAATATAATACAGACACGTAGTGCCTTTTTTCTACTAGATAAATAATACAATCGTATAAATAATTTTACAAGAAAACATATATGATAAAAACGAATGGAGGAACAAATATGCACGAACTATTTTTGTTCCTTTCGATTCGTATAAACATATCCCCTTTGCATGAATTATCCAATACGAAGTGTCTCGGCTCATTAGATAAATAATACAATCGTATAAATAATTTTACATTATTTATTACTATTATACCTTGAATGTAAAAAAAAATCTTATATCTTCTAAAATTTCTAATATTTCTCTATGTATAATTATTATATATTTTCATTTTTATATGGACCATTTTATTCTTTATTTATTTTTTAATAACTACCTTTTTATGAGTAACTTCTCATTTATTTATTTATTTATTTTTTCAATACAATATATGCACGAAGTGCCTTTTTCCTGCTAGTATATATATAAAGGGATTTATGTATTTCAAGACTAAATCTATTTAATAATTTATATTTTACATTAAATTTTAACAATTTAATTATTGAATTTAAAAATTATTTGATATTTTATTTCATTAATTCAAATTGATGAATAATTATAAAATTATTTTATACATTGATTTGAATTAATAAAATGAAGTATTAAATAATTTTTAAATTTTTTTAAAATTTGTAGACTTGATTTATGCATTAAGAACTTTTAATTAAATAGTTGTATAGTTGAAATTTGATATAAAATATGAGTTATTTATCGGAGTAAGTTTAGGTAGACATATTCTTATAGTAAACGGATTCCTCTTTTATATATATATTAACATTAACGTAAAAATAAGACTAAATTATATTTTGATTTCTTTATTTTTGTCAATCCGTAATTTTAATTCCTATTCTAAAATAGAGACATTTAATTTTTTTTATTTTTTAAAACATAGAATTTTGGATCTATCAACTTGATATTCATTAATTGTTAAATTTTAATGTTATATGAGGATGTTTCACACTTAATTGATATTATATTTAGATATGTGATATGTATAGATAAAAAATTATGTAAATATTATTCAAAAAGATCTTTATCGAGTGGTTGATATTTTGTTTTATAAATAAATTTGATTTGTATTATTTTTAAATTTTATCTCTCAATGTCATGCCACATCACTCAAGCATGAATAAAACTTAACAATTAAGGATGTCAATTTAATGAAATGACTAAAATACTGTATTTTTAAAATAAAAAGAACTAAATATCTTTACTTTAAAATATAAAGACAAATTATAAATTCCTAAAAATAAAGAAAACAAAAGTATAATTTAGTCTAAAAAAATCTATCTTAATTATCATATATAACTCTTTTATTTTTTTTATTCATATTCATACTTTTTTATAATTGTTTATATCCTTTATGTGTGAATATATAAATTATATTTAAAATTCATATAAATAAATATTTTTAAACATCTAAATTATATTTTAAATTTATGATAAATAATTTACATTGTAACATAATATTATTTTTATCTATTGATAATTTATTTTAAAATATTAAATTTTAATTTATAAATAATTATGATAAATAAAAAACAAATTAAGTAAGAAGAGAAAAATATTTTTAAAAATCCTCTCGTTGAAGAAAAGTACCAAAAAAGGTTCTTGTGCAAGATACATATTTGTGTTTAATATATAAGATAATATTTTAATTCTATATACTATTAATAAAGAAGATATTCTTTTTTGGTATACATAAATTTTAGACTAATCTATCCCTATAATTACCTTTAAATCACTTTCTCTTACATTATCTTCTATTTATTTAGTTATTCTCTCTCTTTTTTCTACTTCAACAATTTAAACCTCTCAGTCTTTAAATAATCATTCATTATCTTTTTTATTTATTTTTATTTTTTAAATAAATAGAGAGGAACAAAATGTCTATTTTTCTCCTAGTATATATTATATATACTAATATTTTAGTATATGCAATTTACAAGTTAAATGTTTATTATATATGACTAAAATTTATAATAAATGATATGTATAACTAAATATTCTATTTTTTAAAAATATTTTATATTTTTGGCAAATACTAAATAACTAAATATTGTGTTTGAATATGTAATTTACATTTCTTTATTAATGGGAAAGATAGATAATTTATATTTAAATTTATATAAATATATATAGATTTTTATACATATAAATTATATTTTAGATTTATAATAAATAATTTATATTGTAGCACAAGATAATTTTATTTATTTATAATTTATATTTCAAAAAAATATTAAAATTTAATTTCTAAATATTTATGATAAATAAAAATAAAATTAGATAAGAAGTTAAAAAGATATCTAAAAACCCTTTCATAAAAAAAATGTTTGTAAAACACTTTCGTGCAAGATAGTTATTCGTTTTTAATATATAGGGATTAAGGAGTTGATTATAATTTAAATTATTTATTATCAATTTAAAATATAATTTTTATATTTAAATATACTAGGAAGCTTTGGTTAACCACTAGGTGAACAATTTAGTTTGAGGATCCCAACATATCATTCTTGCCTGGTCCTATCTACCATTTTTGTACCCAAAACATTATATGAACTTTTGTCTTTAATTTGATTGTTTTGCATAGTGTAACACTCCTCAAATTTGATGTTTCAGTGGCTTCACTCAATAATATTTTACACAATGACACTTCACACAACTCATTGGTTACAACCTTTCACCAGTCAAAATTCTCCATTGTTAGCCCTTTTTGAGATGTCTGACTGCTTTTAGGATCAATGACTATTTCTACAAACCAACACGAGATTTTCCAATGTATTTTATCTTCATTTGCACTTTTTTTAGAAAATTTCTCAAAATGTCATTCATCCCTAAATTATTCAAAGTCAAACATGCTTAACTATAGAGATTTTAAGTGATGAGCTATTGAAAAGTAGATGTATCTTATTGATATAGGTAGTGCAAATATACTCCTTTAAGACATTCTTAACTGCACAGTCTCATACTTGTTTAAATATCTCGATCCCTCTCATTTTGGTGTACTTGGGTTATTACAAGCCCACCAGTTTCCGTTTGTTTCATCCCAGAACCATATTGTACTGAGAGAGAGAACCAAACTCTGATATCATTTATAACACTACTCATATTTGACGCTCCACAATACTTCATGTAGTGACACCTCACACAACCTGTTAGTCATAACCCTTCACTGGTCAAAACCTTCTATGGGGTTGCCCTTTCTAAAATGCTCGACTACCTTTAGGATCAACAATTGTCCCCATAAGGCAATACAAGACTTTCTAGTCAAGCACATTTAACTATGACATTCTTAAGTGATGAACTACTTAAAGGTAGATTTATCTTGTTAAGTAGTACAAATTAATTCTTTTAAGTCAATATCAATTATATAGTCTGACATTTGTATAAAATCGTACAAAACCTTTAGATCCTTCTTATTATGGTGTATCCAAGTTGTTAGACATAGTAGTTGTAGTGATTATAGGTACTCTTTATGGAGTGATCTATTTAACAAAGAACTTATATTTAATTCTTATTATGTACGAAATCTCGTTGAGCTAAAAAGAAAATTACATTATTGCAAGTGGATTTAGTCTTTATCCTTGAGCAATTGGGAATAGTTGTGGGAGGATAAAGAAATTTAAATTAGTTGAAATTTTAGTTAGTTGGAAAATTATATGCAATGGTTTATTTATTTTTATGAATTAATTAATGTTATTCAATTTATAGATAAATTCAATGAAAAAAATTGATACGTTGTTATTAAAAAGATATATACATTAAATATATTTTAAATTTTAAAATTAAAGAGATTAAAAATTATCTCTTTCTAAATCTTTATTCTAATCATTACATGGTATATGTGTTCAATTTGAGGGATTCTATTCACCATCAGCTGTTTGACAATATGAAAGGCCAGGAACTCATGCATTATTTAAATCGCAAGTTTCTTGTTTGGCTCCAAGTTAACTCGATTCGTCAACTCTACAAGGAAGTCTGTGATGCTTTTATTGTCCATAATAATCCAAATGAAAATTTTTGTGTTGTTACTCACATTGTCAAGCTCAATTCTGATGGTAGCTGTCTTGGAAATTCAACTATTATAGGCTTTGGTAGCATCATTCATGATAAGCATGGTTGTTTACTAACTAGTTGCTCTAGATGGCCTCTCACATATATGTGTATATATAACCAATAATTATACATATTTCTGATGAATAAAAATTACCAATCACACTTTTCTATACTTTACTATCAAGGAAAATTGGAAAACAAAAGTTATCAATTTAACATGTAAGTTAAATGTTATTTGTAATTAAGGTGTCTGCAAGATGATTTGAGGTTTCTATTCATGATTGTCATTGAAAAGACATCAAACAATTATCACAAGAGTAGTGAGTAGTCAACAATCTCACATGAAAGGGAAGGT